GCTCTAAGAAAAAGGGTGTGTTTTATGGTCAATGGAGTACTAGTACTAATGATGACGCACACATAACCAAGTAACCAGTCTGCTCATCCAGTTTTTAAAAAAATGCGTTTATTGATAATTTGCAACCTGAGACTTAACATGACTAACACCATGTGGGTGTTTCTGCTTCGAGGTTTCAGCTTACCACACACTGCCTACAGATTCTTGACTTGATTATTTCTTTTAATTTCCATAAAAATGCAGCATTTGGATTTTTGTTTTACAAACAAACTACAGAGTATTAAGGATGACTAGCATCCCTTGCTCATTGGGAAAACATGCTTAAAAGCATGGTAAATACGGAGGAAATCAACAAGCAACCTCTTTCACAAACACACCGACACATTGCACTCAAAAGTTTCATTTGTTGTCTCACCGATAAAAAACACACATTTTATGTTAAAAGCACCTTGCCTACAAATCACAACAAAGCCAGAGAGCAGCACAAAGCTGGAACCTTTTAGAGTATGAAGGCATACAAAGAAGAAGTGAAGGGGAAAAATGGCTTCTGGGACAATATCACCACCCTAGCAACACATCTGTCCAGTGCCTGCTTTGTTTACTGGGGGATATTTCACTACACTGGAGGGGTTTTTCCACTCTCATTTAATTTGTCTTCACAGGACTACACTTGACAGCCTAACATGAGTTTGTGTCCTTTCTGCAAACACTAAAGTCAGATGAATGGATGAATATGCGGAAGGCAGTTTATTGTGGTAGTTTTTGGCAAAAGTATGCAGGTCGCGTGTGAATGATTAATTAGGGAAAAATATCTGTCTACAAGTCCGATTCAGTGCAAACCAAAGGGAAAAAAAAGAAATTCTCTTTAGCCTTTGTGACTGATCTGAATGTGTCATCTCTCAGCACATGACTCAAACATGGGATCCTGCTGACACAGGAACACAAAAAAACAAAAGCTTTAAATTTCATCGGCAGCCCAGACAGCCTACAACACTACAACAGAGGCCACTGTGTGGCTACAGGCTCAATATGATTTCCTGCTGTGAGAGTAGACTGTCATTAATTTATTGTCAGACACCAATGAAACTATGTGTCTCCAAAGAGAGGTTTACGCCCTTCACTAGTGTTCAGTGGGAGGGCCTGTCACACCACATCAGAAATTTTAAGTCCCCTCTTGCGTAATGTTTGGGACAGTTCCTAGGACACATGAATGCTGGTATCTCCTTACAACACAGATGTATAAATAAAGCTTCATTCAGTGCTCACACACTCTGTTATGGAAAACTGTGATTTAGCCTTAAAAAAAAAAGAAAACTGAAAGAGTAGATCTTTCTAAATGATTTTAAGTCACAACTCAAAACATTTTCTGAGGGAAGCATTAATTTGGGGACAAGAAACATTCAGTTTAGTTAGGATATTCATATAAATCATCAAGTCAGATTACTGCCTAAAGTTATGGTGACATAAACGGTCGTTAAGTGGATGGATAACAATGGAAGAGGACATGTGAGCATGAATGGGACTAACACATAGCAGCTACGCAACTCTTTGTGCACGCTTTTTGTCAATCCCGGGGAAAAGTATGCATAGGGAGTAAATCATGTATTAGCATAAGTCTCTGCAGATGATGATAACCCTCGAAATGATGATGGATGATAAAAATAAACAACCCTGACCAAATGCATTATACAGTCACAATAAACCGACTATTGAACACCACAGACAAGCCAGAAATCCCTGGAGGGGTATTACAGTGATACCACAGGAGATAAAAACATAGCATAAAGCACAATGAAGCCCCTGTGAACCCACTGTTAAGTACCCACAGACACACCAAAACTCCCCACTGAATAACATTTTTTATTTTTCCTTTTATACAAGAAGTACCACAAGCAAGTGCTTTATCAGACACACCCGCACGCACGCACACGCACACACACACACACACACACACAGTTAAGAATAAGAAAACAAGTAGTTACCTTCCATCCTGCAGAGCTGTTGCTGTCTCCTTTGTCCTTGAAATAAGGCACACTCTTCACCATCCAGTCATAAATCTGAGAGAGAGTTAGTCGGTTCTCGGGAGAACTTTCGATAGCTTTGGTTATGAGGTCTGCATATGACATATTCCCCCATGCGTTTCGCCGGGAGGAGCTGCTCTTCCTCTGGGCAGCGGCAGCAGCGGCGGCCGCGGCCGCTGAGGACGACGAGCCGACCGGGGTGGAGAGCAGAGGCACCTGCTGCTGCTGCTGATGCGGGAGTTGCGGGTTCGGGTGCTGCTGCTGCGGATGCTGCTGATGTTGCTGCTGCTGCTGTGGAGCTTGCTGGTGGACGCAGTTCTCCTGACACTGGAAATCAGTGCACAGGATGATGGGTTTCTGCTCTGTGAAGTCCTCGGTCTCCTCCAGCAAGCTCAGGTTGTTGATGAACTCGGTGTTGTTGGCGGGTTCCTGCTTGACAGATGGGACTGGTGAAGAGGTGTTGGAGTCGCCAGGGTTGATAAACTCCGGCCGGGGCAATGGCCAAGTGCACGACCGGGGCCGCGACAGCGGTTCAAAATCCGGGTCGATTTCCACCAGGTGTGGCTGCTGAGGCGCTTCCGCCATGGTCGAAAGGTGAGTGAGAAAAGTATTACAATGTCATGTAATTGTGACGAACCTGTCGCTCCTCAAAAGCAGCAACTTCGCCTCGGAGACGTGAGCGAACGCAAGATAAAACTGACCGGGAAAAGAGTGCTCCGCTTGGGCGCAGGAAACAACACTGAAAGTTACATCCCAAGTCGATAAAAAAATTAAAAATAAATGTAAAAAAAATCAGCTGATTAAAAGAATGATTCTAAAACGTCTTTCAAGTAAAGTCGAGTACGTGGTCACAGTGTGTTGACCCGCTGGTTTGTTTTTGTCCAGTCCTACAGACGTTCCGTCTGCTCCTCGTACAGCCTGTTGACTCTGTTGTACATACAGCTTGTGAGGACTTACTGGAAGTATCATTTGTCAGCTGACACCGCCCACATTTGACTGACAGCCGAAAAGCACCAATAAACTGCATCGAAAGACTTAATGAAAAAAGTAAACCTGTGGAGAGCAAATGTGGAAGATTTCTCTGTTTACTTTTTTTTTAAAAATTTTAACGTAATTTCTACAGAAGAATTATATCCATTGCTTTTCCCTAAATATCCTGTATTTAGGTCAAAACTTAGCAACCCTAAATCATTCATTATTTACGATTAAATAAGAGCAATGGTAACTAAATATTCTGTTAGTATTGAAAGCAGACTACAGACTCTGTAAGAGTAATCGTACCGTGTGTAGTAACATACAGACAGAGTCTACACTGGCGCACCATCAGAGCGTCTTTATAACCTGGGGTCATTTTTGGTTCACACTAAAACTGGACGATGCCAATTTTTAAGCACTGAACTGGAAATATCGCGCTCTGCGGGCTGTGTGGCTGCCTGTTGCTCGGGAAACGTGATTAGAGAAATGAATGGATTCCGCCGAGCATCCGCAAGTTTTAGATCCAAAAGTCACACAGTGAGTCAGGAAGCAGACCTCAAAAATCCACGAGGACGGTCACATTAGTTGAACATTACTGAGAATCCGTGGGTAGATTTTACATGTGCTGTGTGTGCAAGCTGTGATAACAAGGAGCAGGGGAATTACTTACCTGATGCATATTCGTATTTTGGCACATATCGCAGCTACTTTTACTTTAAATTCAATATGTGCATATGTTTATTGTACTAGCATATAAATAGTATATAAATGGCTGCACTGATGGCTAAAACGGGGCTATTTTTAATGCTTGTCGGCTGCAGGCGGTACTTTTGTTTGCTCAAGCTCGTCCTAAACTTTACTATTAACCAAAAAAAGATTCCATAATTAATTTGATACTTATGCCTCCCTGCATGACCTGGTAATAAGCTAGATTTGTCACAGAATCTGCGCTGTGTACACATTTTATAGTTTTAATTATCATTTCATGAGCAAAAATGCTAATAAAAGTAAGGTCTTTATAAAATGTTCTCAAATGGTAAAAAGGAAAATACAAACTTGGGGGTTAAAAAATGAAGTAAATGGACTCGTTCCTTTCATGATCTGTGGCTCTACCACTTTGAGACTGTTTGCTGGAGCAGAAGCTGTCTGGTGTCTTAATAAGCCAACTGTGGAGTAGGGGGACACCTTGTGGTCTTCATCGGGTATTACAGTCAGACGGGGCATTACTGGCATAAATTCGGAAGTACAAGATGAGTAAATTCGGGGGAGATAATTCCGTCAACATTGCGCAATTATTCGAGTACGTGAGTGGAATGAATACACGATGGATTTACGTTATCACATAAAGTACTCCACTGTACTAGAATCTTGGGATGTCTTCCTCTTAATATCACGACAAAACTTGTAATAGACACGCCGGTCCGCATATTCATACCTCTGTTAAATCTATCGAGACATCATTCACAGATGATGTTACGATGCAGAAAGCTATTTCATTCTAATCAGCGAAATGTCACAAGACTGAGTTAAAAAAAAAATAGAGCCTGTTGCCAAATATGACTTTAACTCGGTGATCAGTAGTGTATCATATATCTAATCTATATCTCATATAATTAAACTATTATCCAATTACTTAATTTTAAGAATGAAACCGTGTGTTTAACTGAGTGTGTCTTTTTCTCTGTAGCGTGAACTCCTTGAGCGTTTTGCGCTCGGTAGGACGGGACAAATACCCGCCAATGAAATGAACTTATCGACAAAACGGTTATACTTTATGTTGTTGCATCAACTAACACTGAGCTCCCACGGACAACAGCACGGATGAATAATATTACGTCTGAGTTATGTCCTGTGTTTCTTGAATGTGCAGCTACCTCCTTTCTGCGAAGTCAGATCATGTGGGAACTTGTGTCGTAAGGTGGAGTGAAAGTACAGCGACGCGTTAAATGCTCCCACTGTTTTTTGCGAAGGATTAACCTACGCTAAAGAGATTACAGGTAAGCACCACGGGCTCCTTCTATGTGCTTCATTTTACTGACTTCCTCTGTTAAAACAACTTATTTCTCATCTAAGGCTCGTTTCTAATCTCTTTTGCGAATAATGTCATGTTTTGTGATTGCGTGTGAAAAAAAGATTAGGGAAAGGTGAAATGAATGAAAACCATGTGGATATTTTCAGGCTCGTGTCCTTAAAGTCACGATGGCTCCACACCCTGTAATTCAGGCGATCATCGACTTCTCAGCTGGAGCTGCAGGTGAGTTTAACGTAAAGACACGGCCGTATTTCACGCCACTCGCATCAGATTGAAGATAATCACTTGGACCAGCTTTGTGTTGCTTTAAAAGTGACCCAAACCCTGGCAGCAAAAGGATCACAGCATAACACCTACCTGATCCCATCAGTGTGGGGGTGAACGGTTTAGTGCAAGCTGTCATTCAATTATTAACGTAAAGAAGTGAGGAAGGTTAATTTTGCAAAATTCAAAAATTGGGATATGCTCAAAGATTGGAAGCAGGCCACATCTATTTCAGTATTGATCGTCTTTAACACCATTTGCTGTATATGTCCAGTTATTTATCTAAAGTTTAGTCAGAGGTCAGAGGGTTTATATGCTGTACTCATCATTGACATGAATGCCATGGATATTTTCAGCTTTTAATGATTTATTTGAGCTGGGTTTTTTCTGGGGTGAAATAACTGCACAACATATATATTTAATGATTTTTTTAATAAAGCAGTAATTATATGGATAGGCTTGGGTTTATTTTGGAGTTTCTCTTATCTGCACAGGTTCAAAAGTATACATAGAGAGTGATATGCTAAATCACCCACTAAAATCTGACTTGTTGAAGGTTGTACAATGTCTTTTAACCTGACAAGGACATGGCCTATTAACTTTTCATTAGTGATCATGACTGACTACAACTGGTTGTTTCTCTTTGCCAGCATAAAAAAGGATTTCGTTGACAGCACCCAGTAGATTCAGTAATCTGTAACTGATTGGTGCAGATGTCATGTGTGCTTCAGCATCTAACTAGTGATCATAAAGGGAGTAACATTTTTTAAGTGGCAGATAACTTCAAATGCAACGTTTCAATCGGCCTAACAAATATCAGCAAACACACAAACTGTTTGTGAGCAGTCTGTCACACAGTGTGTCTGCAAGCTAAAGGTACAGCTGCTGTATTTCCCAGGGAGAATGAGAGATAACTTCACTCGGAGATGGAGAAAGATGTAAGAAAGAAAAGAAGGGAGAGGAAGAAGACAGGTTATATTTAAAGGTAAGGACTGCTCAGTGGCCTTTGATAAAGTGGAAATTTAAAGCTTAGATGTAATGTTCTTAATTTTAAATCAGATAATGGATCTGTATATGATTTGAAGTTATATATTTAAACACTGCTAAGTGTGTACTTTTTACTTTGTGTTATTCAAAGTTTGCATGAAAGTACAACACAGTTTCATGCAGGATAAACCAGTTTGCTTTGCCATACTGTGAATTTACAGTAAAGCACTGTGTTGGACTGGTGCACAGCGGCTGTGGTGTTTATGGTCAGTGTTAGGTTACATCAAGGTTAGGCGAGGTCAATTCACTGAGTTATACATACTGCATACTGTCAGTACAGGGAATGGAAATAATCCGAGATAGCTAAATCCACAAAGAGCAATAAACCAGGTGAACTCTACAAATTGTGCCAACAAAAGTGCTCAAATATTCAGCCAGAACTGCCAGAACTTTGCTGATGGCTACCAAAAGGTGTAACTGGTTGAGATGTAACTTGCACTGTTTGCTTACCAAATACTAATGGGGGTATGTGTATAGATTTTGACCTTGTATATGTTTTTTGACACTGTGTATATTAGAGAAACATGAAAATAAATTCAAACCTGTGCACCCAATTTTTGTTTTTTTAAAGTCTTTAATGATGTATGTTGTACAATTCTTCCACCCTGGAAAAGGAACAGTTAAAAAATAATTAAAACCTCAAAAATACAGTTTCTTAAGATCAAATATTATACATACACACATATGTATCTTAATACATCTACATATATTTTTATAGTCTGATTTCCAATACTTTTTAATCTCTGAGTTCTTCTCAGTTATTCACGTCTTGATGCCCACTCAGGTGGCACAGCCTGCGTGCTGAGCGGTCAGCCATTTGACACAGCAAAGGTGAAGATGCAGACGTTTCCCACAATGTACCGCGGCTTCATCCACTGCTTCATCTCAACATTCCGGCAGGTGGGGCTCCGTGGTCTTTACAAAGGCACAACGCCTGCCCTGATGGCCAACATCGCTGAGAACGCGGTGCTCTTCTTGAGTTATGGGCTCTGCCAGGATGCCGTCCGCTTTATGTCAAGGATGGACAAAGGCGCTGATCTCAGGTTGGAAGAAGATATTTCTGACTATTTATTTACATAATAACCTGCATAATATGTAACAGACTTCAGTGAGGAGCAGCTGGGTATAGCACAATTTGATGTTAAATGTTCATGTGAACCAGGACTCTCAGTTTTCAGTGTCTTGAGACATTTTCGGGGGTTCAATCCTCCACATTTTCTTTCCGCTTTGTGACTTGCTGCCTCCTCTTTTCACTCCCTGTGCAGAAAAGCATTTCATCATGTACTGAGATGCAACATCATAATAATAAGTGGGTGTGCTCACACAGTTTAAAACTTTAGATTAAGTATCTTTCTTGGCAATTGAGAATGAAATAATAAAGTGAATAATAATTAAGTAAATTCCCCACAATAATAATTATCTATTGCAGCCAGAAATAGAAACTAAATGAAGAGAAATGGTTTTCAGTGACGCTCTTTAGAGACAAATGTTAAAATTGATGGAGCATTTTTAAAGGATTTAAGTTGTTTGGGATATTCATTTTGATTTTAATGAAAAAGCTTTTTTTTTGTCATTCAATGAACTATAATGAAAATACTGCCATTAATATTACACATTGAACCCACTGAAATCATGCTCAGCCAAACGGGCTTTAAACTAATTGCAATTTTAAAATAACTTTCCTTAACCAGCTTTGTATTTTGAGCTGTCTGATCACTTTAAGAAATACCTTTTTCTACAGTTGTGCCACATTGCATTTATCACAACCTAAATCTTTATTTTATGTCACAGTAAACAGTGATTAGCATAAGAAAAAACTAGAAATGATGAGAATATTTCTTTGATGTAACTGCAAGGAAAACTTTTTCCTCATTTGAGCCTTTTTTTTTTTTTTTTTGCAAAAAGGCCCAAATGAGTGTAGCTGCTAATTTTCAGATGGTCGCTCTCTTCCTAAGCTGTTCATCTAATTTTGATAATGGAATTTGGAATTGTATCAAGTATGAAATACAGCTTATATTATCTCTATTTGACCTTTCAGCTTCTTGCCTGAACTTGGATTTGAGCTTCCTAAAGCAGGAAATCTGTAATGCTGTAAAAGTATATGTTTTAGTAAGGCATATTTAAATGCCTTTGCATTTCCTCTAATAGCTCTTTGGGAATCGCCTTCGCTGCACAAAAACATTGTTTTTAGTTGTCAAACTCTGTTATCTTTGTGATTTTTCATAAATTCAACTAAAGAAGCTGAAACAGATTGTGTTTTTGTAACAGGCTGCTTCTCTGCCTAAAGACACAGTTTAGAATTGGTTCTTTGCTAAGAATATCTGCTATATGTGTAGACACAACACTGGTTCATCTCTTGAGTTAAGTACCTTTTTATCTTTGAATGATTCATAGCTCAGTGTTAAGGAAATATAAAAAAAAAAACATTCCTGTGAAACTGATCAGGTACAAGAATCTTGGAAAACTATTGCTCAACATGACTTTAAAATTTACAAAAAAGCCTGGCACCTTGGAAGCAAAATATATGAAATGAAATGAGTGTGACTCAAACCTTTTGCATAGTAGAGTCAGAAGCAGACTCATCACATTAAAAATCCATAAGGTTTAGCGCATTTATCTCCGTACCAAATGAGTGATATAATCACAACACTGGAAAACCGTCTTGGGAACAGTCATTAAATCGATATCCATTAAGAGCTCTTGATCGTCGGACACATGCCAGTTATTTGTGTATCAGCGGTCAGAGCAAACCTTAGCACTGGCTGCATGAGGCAGAAATAAAACAGTCTCTTTTTTGTAGTTCTAAAAATTGAAGATGGGGATGTATGTACATTAAAACCCTTTCCTCTTCATACTCTTAACTTTTGTTGTACTTATCATTGTTCGTCAGTGATCTTCAGAAGGCATCTGCAGGGTCTTTAGCTTCCATCTTCTCCTCCATGGCAATATGCCCCACAGAGCTGGTGAAATGTCGCTTGCAGGCCATGCATGAAATGGAAGCATCTGGGAAGGTGGCAAGAGGACAGAAAAGGTAAGTGGAATTAAAAACCTGACATTGTTACGACAAGAAAAGTTTTAGTTGACCAAAGCTGTGCTAGACTTTGTTTTCTGGGATGTCTTCAGCACAGTGTGGACTGTGGTTAAGACCGTGTTGAAGACAGATGGCCCGTTAGGATTCTACCAAGGACTGATGTCCACCTTCATGAGGGAACTTCCTGGTTACTTCTGCTTCTTTGGAGCCTATGAGTGGTGTCGGTCCACATTTGCGCGACACATGGGCACAAGCAAAGATGGTATAGGTATGGTTATATCATCTTCTTGTTGTATTTATGGTATTTTGGGAGTTTGTAGTATGTTTGTATGTTTCTGTGGACTCAAAATAGTTTCTGCCTTTGCAGGTATTCTTCCGCTGATGTTCAGTGGGGGATTTGCAGGAGGATGTCTTTGGTTGGTGGTCTATCCAATAGATTGTATAAAGTCCAGGATCCAGGTGTACTCCTTAGCAGGGAGGCAAGAGGGCTTCATCAAGACCTTCATGGGTGTTATACGCACTGAGGGTGAGGTTTGAACATGTATGCACAGATGAATATGAGTGGGTTTTCTGATTCTCTGTGTGATGATTGTAGTCTTGGGAACACATACTTTTTGCAGGATGCACCCCAAATGCCATTTTGAATATATTGGCATGTGTTATATTTCTTTATGTCTGTGAACGTAAGTTAAAAAATATGATAGTGTCAGCAGTGTAAGCAGCAGTAGGTCACAAAACTTTACAAGTGTGTAGCTGTGATCCGATTGAAGGCCACAATTGAAGATGGGGAGGGTTCTGACCCACAACATGTAACTAATCTTTAAAGAATGTGGGGTGTGGACTTTAAACTGGGACTTTAACCCTTGCTTTTGGCACCCTTTACTACTGGCTTATAGGTTAGGAAACACATGTGTTCAAAGTAGGCCCTTATCTTGATGCCAGGCTGTAATATTCAGAATCAGAAAACAATATCTAAGCAGACAAACCTCCCCACTTCATAGGAGGTGGGTAACAGTAAAAACTGAAAACAATTATTGTGAGAGACAATGTTTTATAACCTTATGTAACATATCAGAGATAAATGCACTATAAAACACTGTTCTGTGACATTGCAGCTTTAATAACTGTTATCTGTGTGATAAGGGTATATTGACAGACTGTCATTTTGAAATATTGCTAATTGGTCCATGCTGGGTTTTTTTTTAATCTGTAGAGAACAGTCTGTGCAGCTTTTCCTCTTTGTCCCGACAGGGTTCACTGCTCTGTACTCTGGCTTAACTCCTACAATGGTGCGCACCTTCCCTGCCAACGGAGCCCTCTTCCTGGCTTATGAGTTTAGTCGCAAGTTAATGATGGATGCCGCTGGTGCCTGATGCAATGGATCTTTCCAACCAAAGCAAATATTTTAATTAAAAAAATCCTTATAACAAGAAAAGTGCTGTAAGTGTAATATGCTGGTCAAACTCATGTGAAATGAAGTATTAATCTTGAAAAGTTTTAGTACTTCCACTGGCCTTGCTGTGGCAGTACAAGTTTACTGGGTGTCCATGAGTTTCATTTGTTCTCGCCTGACAAGGAGAAGAATGGGAAGGCATGCATAGTCACCACTCATCTTCTTTCCGAGGCCATTGTTGTTTCATGGCTGTTTATTTGTTTGCACTTCATTCACTACTTGTTAACTAAGGATATTTACTTATTGAGAAAAAAAACCTTTATTTTTGCCAACTCTTTTTTATTTTTAGTGTGTGTGACCCAGTGGTATGAAACACTGTAATATATAAATATAATAAAAACAGAATCATATGTGAGTTATTTGGACTAAGATCTCAAGGAAAAAAGGGGCAGTACAAACACTGCACTTGAAAATGACCTTGTTCTTTTGTCAAGTCAAAAAAGAAATTACAGTTGTATTTTTGGCCCATTCACTTTAATAAAATTGGAGCATGTGTCATAAGATAGTGCAAATGCATTTAAATTACAATTTTATAAAAATGTAATGTAAAAAAAGTGAAAAACGTCAGGATCTCCACGGCCAAAAAAAACCCCAAACCAAAAAACCCACTCTTCCTAGAAAAAAAACAGAACATGAAGTTATACATGTGAAAACAAAAAACAGGAGAAACATTGAAAAATAAACACATCAGAAACTCCTGTGAATCTTTTCATGAAGGGTCCAAAAAGTCAGTAGACCCAACACTGCCAGACTAATGACTTTCCGTGTAAGGTTCAATATAATCTATATTCCATGAAATAGAATTTTAAACCTCATAAATAATCCTTAATTTTGTAAAAACTTGGGGAATCCACGGGAAAAATGTGAGGAAAACTACGTATCATCTTCTTTGAACATCACCTCTCATGTTTCATGACTTGGATACAACAATTATTTATTCATGTGACGGACTCAGGTGACAGACTGCTGAACTTAAATGTACGAAAGCACAAGAGCAGGACTGAGATAGCTTTTCAATACAAGAGCCACAAAGATCCTGGTTAAACAAAAATGGTTCATGTTACATCTTAGCAACCTAAAGGTGACTTACAGGGCAAGCGTGCCTCACTGTTGTAGAAAGCAACCGGTGTTAAGGGAAAAAAAAACCGCACCCACAGAGAGAACAGACACGTAAACAAGTGCAGTACTGTTCTAGCTTGCTCGATCACAGACAACCAATGATTTCTACAACATCCAGCACAGCAGAGATGGTCACACAGGATAAACTGCAGAAAAATGATGGCATTATTGAAGGTAAATACTTTTTATAACCCATTGTGAATGTTTATTTTTAGAATAAGGGATATAAAATAAGGGCTGATTTTTCTCCCAAGAAACCTTATGTTAAAGAGTCCAGAATTGTAGGAGTTGCATAGGACAGCTGTGCTGTGTAAAAGTCTTGTGCCTCACTTCATTTCTTTCTAATTTGCTAGGGAAATGTGTGCAGTAAAAGATATAGAAATGTGTAAAAGTACAGTGGGAGTATAGTATATACTGTAAGGCAAAAGCACTTTTCTCTACATCTAAGGGATTTATTTCTATTTAACATTGGGAGCAATTCGGGGTTCAGTATTGTGCTCAGGGAGCCATCCGTGGAGCAGCCAGGATTGCTCCACCAACGTTCTGATTAACAGATGTCCTGCTTTACATCCTGAGCAACATCCACCCCTAAATATATTATTCTTCAGCATTCCTTAAGTAGTCCTCAGGAATCCTGGCTTCGTAAAGGACATTCAAAGCCCTTCTTTGGATGCTGGCTGTCTTTTGTTCCATTCCCACACTGCTTCAGTGATATTGAGGTCCAGGCTTTGGGGAGGCCAATACATCACCAATAGGGTTGAATTGTGCATTTTTCTATTTAAGCCAAACATACTGTAAACACGTTTAGTGCATTTACACTGTGCTTAGATTAAAATCTGATAGTACTTTTCACATGCATTCATCAGTTTTGACAAGATCTCCAACACCACTAGATGAAATGCAGACCCAAACTATTGCAAAGTCTCCACCATGTTTAACAGATGGCTGTAGACACTGAATTCAAATCACAATTTTCCAATTTGGATTCATTTCTCCATATGATCTGCTGCCACTGATTTTCCACTTCTTCTTTTGTACTTGTCCACTTTTAAGGACACACTACGCAGAAATATGCCAAGTGTTTGGTTTAAGTTGTGTTTCATGTGTAGGTACAACACTGGTCCATCCCTTGAGTTAGGGTCCTTTTTATGCTTGAATAATTCATACATTAGCATTATGTAGCCGAGAGATGACAAAAAAGAAAAAAAAATGAGGACTGGACAGAAAATGAGAGGAAAAGCAGCCAATGTCCAAAGAAAACCTTAGACACACCTTCACATGCCTGGTGAAATGTTTCTCAGGACAAAATATAAAGAAATGATGGGTGGCTCAAGACTTTTGTAAGTACGTTTGATAAGAATACCGGCTCTTCAGTGCACAGCATAGATATTTAAATATTTTATTTTTTGCCTATAATTTGTACTAGGCTATTTTTATAGTAATATTTTAACACATTAATCATAGCTCCAAAAACTGTGAAAAGGAGGAAAGCAGTGAATTAATAATTACCATATATTTACCCAAATATCCTTAACCTACATAATCATTTGGCATATTAATTTAATATACATCTTAATCACATTCTATTTTAACATCACTTATTGCATTTCAATGACATGGCCTTTCATTAGAAAAGCATTAGTCGTCACCATTTATCATAATTGGCTGGCGTATTTTTAGTATTAGAAGTAACTAAATTAAATTATCCGTAGTTATGTATTAGCTTTGTGTCTAGTTTAAAAGATTCACCTGAAAGTCTTCCTGAAAAGAATTTTTTTCCCCCCCACCCTGTATATGACACAGAGAGTGACATCTCAGTGTTTTAATGATGATATTTGAATAGCTCAGTGAGTTTGCACAACATTTTGTGACTCACGTGGATTTTAAGCTACGTGCCTTCCCTTAGAAATTATTTACATCATTAGTGAAATAGGAGCAGTGTAGATCCATTACATCTCTCGGCACTAATGTTCTGTGTCACCTTTAATAAAAGGTGGCGTCCCAGTGGAGCATATTACTGGATAATTATATCATCAAAGTAACACCAAGAACTTAAGGTTTGAATTTAAATGTGAAATGAAGGTGCTATGAAAAAAAAAAAGAAGCAAGATATTGTACATACCCTGCACTTTAAAAACTTGTAAAGTGTTTCTGCTCTTTTTGCAGATAAAAACTCAGGTAAACTGGGATGCTGTGGTTGGCTGTTGGTTTTCATATCCATCATCTTTGTAATAGTAACCTTTCCACTCACAATATTTATGTGTGTCAAGGTACAGTATATTCTCATTGCGGAGCACTGCTTATTAGGATTTAATCACTATTTCTTCACATAGATGTGTATACAAAAATACTCCATTTATATTTCTGTATTTCTTATTTACTGTTGTGCGATTGGTTGTCTCCAACATTCAGATAGTGAAGGAGTATGAGCGAGCTGTCATCTTTAGACTCGGCCGGATCACAGACAGAAAAGCTAAAGGGCCAGGTTTGTGGTTAAATATACAACAAACACTTTGGTTAAGCCATCCCAGAAACCAAAAGGAAAAATAAAACTGTTGGCTTTGGAAGTTGACTCCACATTATCATCTGAACTGGCTTTTATCTTTTTCCAGGACTTTTCCTAATATTACCCTGCACCGATAACTTTGTGAAAGTAGATCTGAGAACTGTGTCCTTTGATATCCCTCCTCAAGAGGTATATTCTTGCTTTGTTTCATTATGAAAGCACTCTGTCTCTGTTATCTCATGCATCACAAGCTGTCTGTAGATAAACAAACTGCAATTTTTGTAAACATTTGCAGATCCTAACGAAAGACTCTGTGACAGTGTCTGTGGACGGTGTGGTTTACTTCCGCGTATACTGCCCCATTTCAGCAGTGGCCAATGTGACCAATGCGCACTCATCTACTCGACTGCTTGCTCAAACCACTCTCAGGAATGTCCTTGGTACCAAAAACCTTGCAGAACTTCTATCTGACAGAGAGGGCATTTCACTCAGTATGCAAGTGAGGATAAAGTGCTGTTACACTTATTACAAAAATTTTCATTTACGTTTATATATAAGCATACCCTTTAAAAAAGGTAAGAAAAGCCTTATTACAGATACTTTTAGAGCTCCTTCATTCCCACCCGCCATTCAAAGAACACTTTTTTTTTTGGCCACAAGGAGAATGCTAGAACAAGTAGAAGCCACTGGTTTTCTCACTGTAGAGTATAAAGTATTTGATTTGTTGTTTATTAAACTATAACTGTGACTAGAGTGTTTGATATTGGATGTTACCCTGCAGGAAGCCCTGGATGAAGCCACTCATCCATGGGGTATCAAAGTGGAGCGTGTAGAGATCAAAGATGTGAAGTTGCCTCATCAGCTGCAGCGAGCCATGGCAGCAGAGGCTGAAGCCAGCCGGGAGGCCAGGGCCAAGGTAATGAGAGGAATGGAAGACTGAATTCAATTTCCTTTTCATGTATTCAGGCCCAGAAATGAAACATCAGAAGATACTGATCGTCTGCCTATATTTCAGATCATTGCTGCAGAGGGGGAGATGAATGCTTCCAGGGCTCTGAAAGAAGCCTCTCTGGTAATGGCTGACTCACCCTCAGCTCTCCAGCTAAGATACCTTCAGACTCTCAACACCATCGCAGCAGAGAAGAACTCCACCATCATCTTCCCTCTGCCAATAGATATAATACAACATTTCATGCATTGGAAGGCATGAATCTCATGTCAACCAAGTTGCATATAATTCAAATCAAGTCAGATTGTCGCAGATTTGTTTTGTTTTTTTGCAATATCACCATGTTTACATTTAGAAAGCTCCAGTGAGAGCTTTTTTTTTTTTTTTAATGCAGGCCTAATGTGGTTATTGCTGCAATCTGCTCTGCATTATTACTTATTAACCTTAAAAAGAGGCTCTCCCTTCTTGTGTATACTTGCTGTGATTTAATACTTAAATACAAAGTGCAACATATACAGTATAGACATTACTTCTCATCATTCACCACAATATGTTAACCAGCTAAGCTACAGTTACAGTTTTGAGGGATGACAATAAATAAATGCACAGGAAGTGTAAAGTCAAAAAAAATGCACGTAAACCTTATAAAGGCATGCTTTCAGACAACCGTATCCAGCGCATGAGTTTCTGAAATACTGAATAGGAACAAAAATCATGTAAACAACAGAAGCAAGGCGATGCAGCAACCTTTTCTGACATTGGACATGAACTGTAAACAAAACCTCTTATTCTAGTGTCGGACAAACATTCGGTAAATGAGTACAAGGTCATGTCCACAGGACACAGGCATTCAGTGCAATCAGAGTACCTGATGGAGAGAGCCATCATTTCCACTTCCTTTCAAAACACCCACCAGCGATGAAGCTAAACATAATCAACTTGTATTAACAGTAAATTTAACTCACCTAGAACCAAATCCCTATTTCAGCAGATTTCCATACTTTATGTCTGAGGGAATGGATAAAAGAAAGCCTGCTTTATTACAATGTATTAATGTCATAAAATCCCATTTCACTTAATTATTATGCGTTTCCTGACTGTGTTAGGCTCTTTAAAATAGTTTTTTACAGAACGCTTACATCCAAATAAAATTTCGAGAAATGTTATCTGGCAAAACAGACATTTGAGACAGGTGGTTATATGTAAACATGAAAAAAATACAATACAAAAAAAGGCAGTTGCTTCCTTTTGATGACTCTTAATTCTCCTCAAGACCTGAGATTATTCTCTACAATGAGAAATGAGGTAACATTGCAATCAGACTCTCGTGCTTATTTTGATGGAAATGTAATCAGTTTGGGGGTTTTTGTCAATTGCGGTTAATTCTTTCTCTATAAAGATTTCTGTGGTGAAAACACACACAAACAATCAAAATAATAATAAACATCAACAGAGAAAACAGCAATAGTTTCAGCTAGCTGCCAGAGCCCTGACAGTATAATCTTAAAATGCAACAAAACAGATAAATGTTTTGCAACGTCTGCACCATTTATGGCTGATTCGGCAGCAATTAAGTCCAACCATATGACAGCTACAGTACTTAATGAACTGCTGTATTCAATGATTTCCTCTTTGGTGGTTTCTATGTAGTCTGCATGTTCACTTTGTAGGACATGTTTATAAACTGCTCAACAACAAAAAAAGTGAACACTTGATCATCACAGCATAACACAAACTGGGCTAGACGTCAGGAATTAGACTGTCCAGTAAGGAAGCAAAACCAGCAGCACTGGAGAAGCATCAAGAAGATCCACCAAACACTGAATGATGCTGCATGTGGTGACCATACACTGCTGTCTTCTCTTATCCTTTCTTATTTTTCTGCAGTTTTGCTCTTTGCTTGTGTCACTGTCACTACTGGTAGCATGAGACTGTACCTGCACAAGTAGCCCAGCTCCTCCAGGATGGCACCAGAAGATGGGAAAAGAGGGGTCATATTAAGAGAGAACAGGGGCTAAAGCACGGGCATCAACCTAGCTGCAAAACCAGTATCTGCTCCTCAGTGCAAGGAAGAACAGGTGGAGCCAGAACCCCTCAAAATGACCTCCGGCAGTTTACTCATGTTCATGTTTTTGAACATACTGTCACAAGACAGTCTCGATATGTCTTTTTGCAGGACCTGTGCAATTCTGCCTCCCCAGACCATCACTGACCTACTGCCAACCCAGTCATGCTGGATGATGTTACAGGCAGCAACGTTACCAATGGCATACTGGAGGTCATTTTCTAGGGCTTTGCTAGTAATCTGCACAAAGGCACAAAGGAGCAGATCTACGGCTTGTCCAGGTCTGCTCATATAACAGCCCATCACCCCTGGGGTCTTCTCCACACTCTTGGAGTAAAAAAATCATTCTGAAAGGATCAGGAATAAGCAAAGATGTATGTGAACACGTGTTAAACCTTTACCTTCTTGGAGATTTTCTTGTTTCATTTGCACAAAGGCAGATTAAATTGATTAGTAATAATTTTTTTGCTTCCTAACCGGACAGACTACTATTCCTGAAGTTTAACTGACTTTGCTTCATACTGCGATGATCAAGTGTTAACCTTTTGAGCAGTCTATTATATTAATTCATCTGAAGGGTGTGAAGGGCATCAACTCACCTAGTGTGAAATGTATAATGCAATGTTTTACCTTTAATGAATCCTGTTCAAGTTAATAAGAAATTCCTTTTAAATCGCGATGCTCCACTGCCCTTCCGTGCCACTTCATCACACTGTAGGCAATCCTAAAATATAGTTAATTATAACTGGAAGACAGATCATGCTTTAAAGAGAGCAATACATGTACAGATTTTACAAAGTATGGTCAGGAAAACTGTTGACTGTGTTGGCAGTTCAGAAGATACAAGTTGGGTTGTTGTTGTAGCCACACATTTCAGGTCAATGCTAATATGCAAGTTAAAGTAGCATGGATGATTGAGGTTAAACGGCTTGATATTCACTCGTAAACTCCTACAATATTTCAGGATGAAAAGGATAATAAGCCCCAGAGAAGAATCTGAACATTGAGAGTAATACTGTAGGTAGTTTTGTGATTTTACTCACAAAAAGAATTTTCCTTGTCCTGGTGGATGCTGCTGGTGGGAGAGAATGGATGGCAAAAGGCGCTTTTTGTGTTTGTTGTTGCACTTTTGATTATCATTATGTCTTGTACATCCATCATCCTGAGCGCTGGATGAGAAGATGGAGATGTAGGCGAAAACATGGAAATGAGGCACCGTGATTTTCATTCTGCTCTCCAATCAATCTACAATCTGTGGGAGTTTTTGAGTGCATCTGCTGTGTGTTGCGTTCGTGTGGAGTAGGAAAATCTGAGGGCAGAGAATTCCTTCTTTTAGTAACAGGTGTGATTAACAGTACAATTGGTTAGGTCAGTGGGGTTCAAATTTTAAATCACATAGGCAAGTGGATTTTCCCAACAAACAGACCTATTTGTGTTTATATAGTGTAACATCCATCCCTCTTCTGATTGAGAGAAACATTCACCCAAGAGGTTTAAAACAAATGAGGCCTTCTGATTCCAGCTAAAAGCTTTTGGTGACGAGAACTTCCAGAAGAGCATCACTGGTGATACGAGTGTGGACGGGCAGGAGAGCCTGGTCCAGAGGGTGGCCGATGGATAGGGGAGGAGCTGGGGGACATGCGAGGACTCAGCTCTCCGGTCTGTAGGCGCCACAGCAGCTCCTCATTGGTGCGACTAAGGCGCTTCTTCTCATTGCTCTCCTTCTCCACGTTCACTTGCAGATTAGCATTCTCTTCAGAGAGTTGCCTAAAGTGACAAGGAAAAGGTCACGTTGTGTGGTCACGTTTTTTTTTTTCTTACTGATTTTTGCATGTTAACTGTTAAAGTTCATCCCAACACAAGGAGAAAAAGACTGAACAAGTATGGCTTGTTTGGAACAACTGTCAGGAGAAAACCTTTTCTCTAAAAAAAAAAGTATGGCAGCACAGTTCAACTTTGCAAAATTCCATCTGAACAAACTTTTCAAAAGTACTTCTGGAACAATGTCCTCTGGTCATAATGCACAGCACCATGTTTGATGAAAACCAAACACAGGATAACAGCATAGCATCAATGCCTCCTATCAAGTGTCAAAGACGGTGGTGGAGCGACGATATCTGCTTATTTTTCTAACCACATGACCCAGGCACCTTGCTATCATTGAGTTGACCGTGAGCTCCTCTTATACCATCTGTCTGACAGCCAAACAAGCTTTATCAAAGTCAGGCAACAGGACAATGATCCCAAGCACAGCAGCAAATCTGCAACAGAATGGCTGAAAAAGAAAAGAGTCAAGGTGTTCCAGTGTTGGGCCACTGCTTGATTCAGTGTTAACACAGAATCCAGTCAAGGAATGGCCCATCTAAATCACATCATTTAGATGAATTATCCCTTTTCTGTTGCATCAGTTTACTGAGCTTCACCAGCATTCGTTTATGCTCTCTTAAGATAGGATCACCCAGTGTTAACACTGTGTGCTGTGATTATCTAAATGATGCAAGAGACTGATAATATTATGCACAAAACAATTATTCCAAGTTACCAGTGGTGGTTCTATAAAGTATTGAATTTCTGCATTCAGAATTATGGGTTTCATTATTGTAAATGTTTCTAAACATTAATTATGTGTAGAGTTTGCATGTTTTCTCCGTGTTCGCGTGGATTCTCTCTGGGTGCTTCCTCCTACAGTCAGAAGACATGCAGTTAGTGGGGATAGGTTAATTGGAAACTCTAAATTGCCCATAGGTGTGAATGCTTGTCTGTGTCTATGTGTTAGCCCTGCGACAGACTGACGACCTGTCCAAGGTGTACCCTGCCTCTTGCCCTAACACCGCTGGGATAGGCTACAGTCCCCCTGCGACCTTGAAAAGGATAAGCGGATGAGAATGGATGGATGGATTAACTGACCTCTATAAACAAAAATATTCTGTATAACATAGATGATGTATCCAGAAAACTGCAACACTTCTAAGACAAGAAAGCACCAAGCACAGTTACATCTCGTGGTTGGAACTTTAATCAGCACATGTATGGATTTTCTCTGACCTGGACACAGCGAGATTCTTGTCTATTTGTTCCTTCAGGTCCTCATTCTGCTGTTGTAACACTTGTAGTTTCTCCTCCAGGAACACATTCTTTGCAGCCTGCTCAAAAAACACAGGTAACACAGTACACCACACTAAAATACTTGTGGAACGAGTGAAACAGTGGTGCAGGCTAAATGATTTGGGTTTACAAAGGAAACATTAGCGCTAATGAAAGTAGACGGGAGGTAAATGGGAAGGCTGCAGTGACGATACACTTTATAACTAATGAAATCATTCATAAATCTCAGCAAGCTGCCATGAATCATACCAACTTAAAAGAAGTTTTAATGCACTGGATATTTTGCAACATACTCCAGATGTTCTCTGGTAAAAACTTGAAACCTACTATTTTCTCCAGTTCTGAAATCTTCAGCTCCTGCTGATGGATTTGTTGATTTTTCATCTCCAGAACTTCTTTGAGGCTCTTCAGGTCCTCCTCAATGTGTTTATAGGGAGCCAAAGCATCCTTTTAAAAAGCATTAAAAAACACCACTAAGCTGTAAAACCAATCAACAAGTTTTATGCTGTTAATGTTGCTACTGTCACATCAGCAGTAAGCAGTGTATCATGAAGCTCTTACCACGATCTGCTCATCTGTGCTCTTGCGGAGAGCTTCTTCAAATCGTTTTGCTCGATCTCTGAGACTACGGTTCTGAAATGTCAGTGTGTCCACCTGATCCTGATGACCATGGATATTAAACTGTTAATGACTTAAACTATTAACTAGGTCATATTATGAATTTTTAAGGAGAACTGTTAACCTGCAGTGACAGTCTGATCTTTTCAAACTCTTCTTCCAAAGACTTCCTCTGTTGTTCATGGGCCATCTTCAAATCTGACACGAGAAACACACACCGTCATGTTTCTTGACGTGCAGTGATTCAGTGGAGGGTGGCAACAGGTTTTAAATGGGGCGCTTACTCTTCACAGTCCTGGCATGCTCCTCTTGCAGAGTGGCCAGTGTATCATTGTGAGCCGTCTCCATCTCCATCAAGGACGCCTCATGGTTCTGACTCATCTCCTCAAGCTGCAGGCAACAATTACAAAAATAACTCATCAGTGCTACCCGCTGTTCACATACATGCGTATATATGAACACCATGCAACACACTATTTTCTCACATTTTTGTTTCTCTTTAATAAATGTTTCTGTTAATATTTTATAATTTTTTTAAAAATTCATATATAAAAATAACCGCTGCGATTTACTTTTGTCTTTTAGATAAACTCGTGTTTTTAGTTAAATTGCACTCTCACTTCTCATATGAGATTTGGATAAACATGGCAGTTCATATCCAGGCTGCCTAGCACAGACCTGCTCCTGCTGTTTGAAGTGTAGCTCTTCCAGCTCAGCTCGCTGCAGGGCCTGCAGACTATTCGTCTCATCCACGTGCTGTGCTTTCAGCCGCTCCTCCAGTGCTCCCAGCTCCTTCTGCTGCTGAGCCCGCAATCCCTGCAGCTCAGACTCAAAACGACGCTCCAGTTCCTCCTTCTCCTGCTGCAACTGCTCCCAGTGTGCAACACTGACAGCTGGAATAGAGACAGAATAGAAGAGACACAGACAAAAGAAAAAAACATCCTAAAAAGACAGGCAAGTCATTTCGACTCCACACAGTCTTGGTTTTTCTTTATTTGTTTCACTCTTATGGTGTTATATGTAACAAGGGTAGTTTTAAAAGTAAGAAGGGTAAATCTATAAAATTCTTAATATATTTTTGATTGTATTACAAGTCTGTTCTAAAGTGTGACTTGAAACTGTGTCAACATAGGAGTTTTTTTGTTGTTGTTTTTTTTTTTTTTACTTTATTTACCAGACACACACCTTAACGTTCAGTCTAAGACTAAATCTAGACTGCTGTCTGCAAAGTGAATTCCCATGGGCCATGTGGTCAAACACTCGGTAATACATCATGGGTTGCGAGCGATGAGTGACTCACTGCCTTCTCTCCTCCCTGTGGTGCCATAACTGTAACGCCGTATCCCACTTACCCACTTCATCACGGATTCTGGCAAGCTCCAGGGACAGTTCCCTCTCCTTCACAATGGCACTCTCACTCTGAAAAGACACACAGCGACATACATCTCTAGACAGTGCAAATGGATTTAGGTGTTTCTTGTCAGTGCAGCAGCAAAAATCAAGCATGTAATTCTAATAATGCAAGATCTTTGTCATAGATGCTAATGGTGGCTGTAAGAGAGCACGACAAACAATGCTAACAGGTCGGGTTTTTAAACCGGCTCCCATCAATTTCACTACAGTTTGTTATGCTATGAAGCTCGGGTGAATCAAATGTGGATGTGTTAAAAATTTGCCCTTTTGGAAGATTTGGGGGTTTTTTTTCAGCAAATGATGCAAGATAATTTACTCAACCGTTTCATGTAGATATTGCACTCAAGAACACAGAGTAACAGGACGCGTCAGTGCAGTGCTACTGGATATTAGGACTTCACCGATGTGATGCGTCGTGTGGAAAACAGCATTTAGGGATCTTAGATAATGACGTGCATATTTTTGCTACGTCTCAGAGTTGTAAAATAAATAAATAAATACAAATAAATAAAAAACAGTATGCATTTTACATTGTAACAAATCCATAACCAACTACTTCTATTTACTATCATTGGCTTAAAATATGCCACGACATGAGTGGTTACACATCAGACTAAAGACGAGAAATTTCACTGTCTAAAGTGGGGTGTCTGCTGCTCATAC